TCACCATGGTACCGGTGCGTGCCCATACAAGATTGTACAGATGGTTCAGTACGGTGGCATGTGGCGCAAAGCCCCGTCCTTTCATATTCATGGTTCCCGCACCCGCAGTAATGCCGGTGATATGCATACCGTGGTTGGCATAAGGAGTCGGGCAATAATTAATGATACGGTCACGCAGGTCAACGTGGTTCATCCCCGCCGCGTTATCCCCTACCCCGATCGTAATACTATCGCCCATAAGACCAAAGCCGCCAAAGGCCACGGGCAATTGCGCGATGCTTGCCTTGGTGGCGCCGGTAGATTCAAAATTCAGTGGCTGGTCGCGGGCCGCCGGGCCAATGGTGCGAACACCATACCAGGCAGCCAGGGTGGTGATCTGGTCTGCAGGCAATTCAATCTCGTAAAAATGATTATCCGCCAGTGGCGAATAGATCATCTTACCGCCCGCTTGTTTTACTCTTGACTGAAGAGCCGCCAAACTGATCTCCGGATAACAGGATACAATCAGCTCCACATTTTTACTTCCGGAAACTGGCTCAGGAAATACGGTCACCTTCCAGGATGGCTGAACGGGCATCACTCCATAAAGTCGCAGGTCTGCCGCGGTTACGGATCTTTTTAAAGGCGCGGCTATTGCCGTAAATGAATAATCAGAGAGGTAATCTTTTAGTTGGATACCGGCTGCTTCCAGCAATAGTTTTTCCTTGGTTCCGGGCAGCTCCGTGAAGACCACGATTACTTGTACCGGATCTTTTTGACCACCATTAGTCGCCATGCTATCCAGCCATTGCTGTCCATTGGGCAAGGGGTACACCGTTTGATGCCGCAGGCGCACTGCCATAGCCGGCCGTTTTTGTGCCTGTGCAGGCAAAATGCCCGTGAACAACAACAGCAACAAAAAAGCAATTTTATAACTCATCAAACAACCAGGTAATCGTCTCGTCATAAAGTAGTATTGGAGCAGTATATTACAGCAAAAATAGCTGCTTACTACAATTTACGACTTTTAAGGGTGTAAAGTTTAGCAGCTAAGTATTTTGACCGCAATTGGTTTCTATAAAGATAATTCCGGTACCCAGG